TAAGAAGGCAATTGGAATATTGGCTTTTATTGCAAGGAGAATAGAGTATACAAATCACGAATTCTTGCTACAGCGGTATAGGACTATGCTAGGAGTCCTGCACATGGTTTTGTCTCCTTATTTAAAAAGGATACACTTGAAGTGGAAACAGATCAGAGAAAGTAAATGCAGGAAGAACGTTCTCATTGACGGGGGAGTCTAGAACCAGGAGTCACAGTCTGAGGATATTGGGCAGGCTATTTAGGTCCGAGATGAGGAGAAATATCTCAGCCAGTTGAGCCTGTGGAATTCTCTGCCACAGAAAGCAGTTGAGACCAAAACATTGAATGTTTTCAAGAAGGAATTTGACATGGCTCTTTGAACAAAAGGGTATGGGGAGAAAGCGGAACAGGGGACTAAGTTGGGTGATCAGACATGACCATATTGAATGGTTGCGCAGGCTTGAAGGGATGAATGGCCCACTCCTGCAGTTATTTTCTATGTTTCTAAGATTCACTAGGTTGACTCCTGTCATTAAAGTGTTGTCTTCTGAAGAGAGGTTGAGCAGGTTGGGCCTATACTCAATGGAGTTTAGAAGAATGAGAGTTGATCTTAATGTAAAACGTAACATTCTGAAGGGGTTTGGCAAGTTGGACACAGAATTTTTTTTCTCGGGGAGCCTACAATAGGACGCAGCTTCAAATAAGGGGCCTTCCATTTAAGACTGAGATGAGGAGGAATTTCTTCTCTAAGGGATCTTTAATCTTTGAAATTCTCTACTCCAGATAGTAGTAGGGGCTACAACAATGAATATATTCAAGAGTAAGTTTGATTGATAGCCATGGGTTATGGGGGACAGGCAGGTAAGTGGAGCTAAGACTATAACAGATCAGGGATAATCTTATTGAACAACAGGGCAGGCTTGAAGGGCCGAATGACCTTCTCTTACTGCTATCTTCGTTTTCTATTGTTTTTCTACATTTAGCTAGAACTTCTTTCCCTAGCCCATTAAACAAAGCTTCCCCAATACCACATCTGCGCCGCCCCCCCCCCC